GCAGTGTGAAAATTCCTCCTAGAGAACAATTTGGATGCGCTTGTAGTTTCTTTACCTGTCGGTCTTTTTCCAAAACAAAACAAAACAAAACAAAACAAAGACGAACAAAAAACCCATAAACAAACAGAGACAGAGGGAAAATGCTGAGAAAGATGACACTCTGATGTGCTCTTGCAGTCTTCTCCAAGACTCTTAGTGTTCACACAGCTTCGTGTTGTGGGCCAGACTGTCCAATTCAAGAAAGAATAATATTTCTAGTCTATAATATGGAGACTGGTGTAACCAACTCGTAATGTTTAATAACTGTAAAGCAAAATTTGTGTGCGTGCGTGTGTGTGTGCTTTAAGGGGCTCAAGGTTCACAACGATGAAACACAAAGAACTGGTTGTGAAACTTGTCTTTCAACGTACTCAACTCCCCTTCACTGCACCTCAACTTGTTAAGCATGCGTGTCTATGTACTTACTAGCAATGTGTCCTAGCAGGAACTCTGTAAGGTATAATAGGGATCTGCTGTACCATCAAAGTGCTCTGGAGCTTGTCAGTAAGGATTGAGTTTGGGGGAAAGAATGAAAGAAGGCAATATTTATCAATTAGACAACATTGATTTAAAAATTAATTCTTCTAGTCAAATTTCAAGAAGAAAAACTCAGTAAATGTTGCGAATTAGCAATAAATGGTACCAAGAGAGTATGATGTGTGTGTGTGTGTGTGTGTGTGTGTGCGTGCGTGTGTGTGGTTTATGTATTTTAAACCTTCGTGTTTTGAATGGAACTTTTAGACATTAAGGCAGTATGGATTAAGCACTAAAAAATTTAACATGGGCTGATAACAGAAATTTTGGTTAGGGTCACCAATTTAAGGAATACTTGAAAGTTCTTAACATTTTTGGGTTTGCTTAACTAACACTGGCAAAATATTAACTCTTAAAACCAGGTGTGAAAATTTACTGAGAGTCATATATTTTACAGAGGACAAAAACTTTTAACTCAGAGCTGTGGATTCTCAGAAAGCTACACTTGGAGATTTTATGCTTTTGATTAAAAACTTTAAAGAAGTGCTTTAGTATATATTATGATAATTGCAAATGAATTGAGGCAGTGATGGGTGATAGCACATAGAAACAAAGACAAATTGGGGCGTCTGGGTGGCTCAGTCTGTTAAGTGTCTGACTCTTGGTTTCCGCTCAGGTCACGATCTTGTGGTTCGTGAGTTCGAGTCCCATGTTAGGCTCTGGGCTGACAATGCAGAGTCTGCTTGGGATTCTCAATCTCTCCCTCTCTCTCTGCCCCTCCTTCACTCACTCTCTCTCCTCTCTCAAAATAAATAAACTTAAAAAAAAAAAAGGAAGCCAAGACAAATCAAGCTACCTAAGAGCCAAATACATTCTGATTTTCAAAAATTATGGCATGTGTTAAACCCTATGAAAAATTCTGCCAACGCATATTTCTGTTTCTATTACTTGTTTCCTGCTCCCACCCCCCCACCCAGTGGAAAAAAATACATTAGTTTTAGTCTATGTGCTATATATTATATTATGAATACAATGTAACAAACATAAAACCCGAACAGCCAAAATAGTTAAGTATTTTATAGTCTTTTTATCTTTTGTTATTTATTTATTTATTTATTTATTTATTTATTTATTTTTTTTTTTTACGTTTATTTATTTTTGAGACAGAGAGAGACAGAGCACGAGTGGGGGAGGGGCAGAGAGAGAGGGAGACACAGAATCTGAAACAGGCTCCAGGCTCTGAGCTGTCAGCACAGAGCCCGACGCGGGGCTCGAACTCACGGACTGCGAGATCATGACCTGAGCCGAAGTCAGATGCTTAACTGACCAAGCCACCCAGGCGCCCCTATTTTTTATTTATTTTTAATGTTTTTAATGTTTACTTATTTTTGAGAGAGAGAGAGACAGAGACAGAGCACAAGCAGGGGAGGGGTAGAGAGAGAGGGAGACACAGACTCTGAAGCAGGCTCTAGCTCTGAGCTGTCAGCAGAGAGCCTGATGTGGGGCTCAGACTCACGAACCTGAGATCATGACCTGAGCCAAAGTCAGGTGCTTAACTGACTGAGCCACCCAGGTGCCCCTCTTTTATAGCGGTTTTAGATGGTAAAACAAAAGTTTATTCAATTGTACATCTTATGAAAATCTGAGGAAGTGAGTTGTGTTCTCCAGAGCATGCTTTCAAGGAGGGTGAAGGATCTGCCTGCTGCACTCAGGAAGGTTGTCCACAGAGGGATGGCCACAGTTGTAAGACTGGCCTAAGGAAACCTCACTACCACTTCTGGGGATTTCATACGACAGGGAGATGAGGTGAAGACCTAAAGAGGGGGTCCTGCATTCATTTGTCTCATGTGCCAGTGAGAGGGTCAGGAAGGCCAGGTCTCTACAGTGGGAACTTGCAGCAGAGATAAACCATCTCTTCATTTCATTGTCATTTGATGAGTAGCTCAAAAAGGAGAGGGACAGGAAGGAAGATTCTGGACTGAAGACCCAAGCTCTTGTTAAATGGTGATACTAACCAGAAATACTAAGTCCTTTGCCATTTGTTTGGGGGGGGGGAGAACTTGTCCTATTTCATTAACTTATAATTAATAAGGCATTTTAAAAAGACAAGTCATTGAAAAATATCTTTGATGCTGTAAAAGTGGGGCCTTTTAAGCGGGAAAAATTTGTAAAAACCTTTTGGTTGGCTCTTTCAATGACTGAAAAGGAAAATATATTCTAACAGCTGTGAAATAGGGACACATCCATAACAGAAACCGTAACAGAAATGCCTACTTACAAAGATATATTCACATTGTGTAAGTTTTGAAACAGGAGTTTTCTTAGTTTGGGCTGCTAGAGCAAACCACTCAGATTGGGTGGCTTACACAACACAAATGTATCTGGTCACAGTTCCTAGCTTGTGGAAGGCTGCCTTCTCAATGTGTCCTCACAGAGCAGAGGGACAGAGCAAGCTCTCTGGGGTCTCTGCTTATAAGGGCACTAATCCAGTCATCAGGGCCCCTCTCTGTGACCCCGTTTAAACCTAACTACTTCTTAAAGGCCCCGTCACTAAATACCATCACACTGGGGGTTAGGGCTTCATCAGATGAATTATGGGGGATGCACTTCAGCCCATCTTTCACTTCATTTTTCCTCTTGTAATTGGAATGTTGCCTGGGCCCATTAGCCTCCGAGTATAAATAAAGTCACATTAATACCCAGATTATAATGATTCTTAATCCTTCCTGCCTGTCAGACTTTGACTCCTTTCTGAGTTCTCAGCCCCGCCTGGGCAGTGCCTCACAGCTGTTCAGGGCTGAGTTCACCACTGCCAGGTGCTCCCTAAGACTGCTGCTTGGCCAAACCCCCCCCACCCCACCCCCACCTCCCACCCCACCCCCACCCCCACCCCGGTGCATTACCCTGCACCCTCACAGTGCCATTTGGTGGTAAGTGTGCATGTAGGGGTGGGGTAGGTATTGCAGAACAACCCTGTCCCAACCCTGAATCATGCTGTTACTGGGGTGCTGATCAGCATTATTTTTTTCACCGGACTAATCATACAAACACCTCCTTCAGCTTCTGGTCCTCATCTTTCTCTCTACTGAGACTCAAAATCTGTCCCCTCAGTTCTTCTCTTCTTCCTCATCTCTGCCCTGGGCCCCTAAATTGAAAGGTAATAACACAACACAAAACAAACAGAAAACCAACAACATTCCTTTCAATCTAAAACCAAAGCTCCAAGGGTACCTGGGTGGCTTAGTCCATTAAGCTTCTGACTTCAGCTCAAGTCATCATCTCGAGGTTATGTGAGGTCGAGCCCCACATCTTTGCTGTCAAAGGTTCTTTGCTGTCAGCGTGGAGCCAACTTCGGATCCTCTGTCTCTCTCTGCCCTTCACCCGCTCGTGTGCTTACTCTCTCTCTCAAAAATAAATAAACATTAAGAAAAATTAAAAACAGAACTAACAAAAAAGCACACCAAAGCTCCAGTGTATATCAGTTCAGGCACTCAGACAACCTAGGGGGCCAGCAGCATACTATTTTCAAAGACAGAGTCCGTGGGCTCTGGTTGGGGGTTCACTTGGAACCTCCTGCCACACTTCGAATTTTAATAACTTAAAATCATTTTAGACCTATTCATAATAAATATCATATAAATATCAAATAAATATCAAATATTCATATAAATATCTATAATAAATATTTTAGCACAAAAGTGCTAAAATGTGAAATACTTAGAAACAGGACCTAGAGAAGTCGTCTGACGCACTGTAGCAGTATTGGATGAGCATCTAGGCAACTAGGAAAAAGACCCTCACTTCCACTGAAGACAACTCCGAGCGAGTTCTGAGGAGTCGTGATCCATAGACTTGCTTTTGGGACACCATAAGATAGATCTCAATTATATCCGGAGTTGTCTTGAAAGTATGGAAATAAAAAGGAGTTGAATGATTTAAATTGTGAAAAGAATACACTACAAATTAGTATTTGAATTACTTTAATTGGAAAATAATATGCTGTAAAGTGCTGTTTGCATCATTTTAATTGAGAGGAGAATACTTACAATAAATTACTTTTGGAGGAAAAGAAGGCTTCATGGAATCAAACCAATAGCAGGGATTCAGATATGACTTTGGGCAAATTTCCTACTTTTTCTGCCTGGTCTTCCTCTTTGAAAACTAAGAAAAATAATAATTCCTCCTTTCTGGTTTAGTGTAAGGATTAAATTACTTATATATAACAATTTTAAAACTGTGCCTGGCATATGGTAAGTGCCATAAAAACGTTTGTTATCAAAAAGTATTTATACAGGGGGTGCCTGGGTGGCTCAGTCGGTTGAGCATCCCACTTCAGCTCAGGTCATGATCTCACGGTTCATGAGTTCGAGCCCCACGTCAGCCTCTGTGCTGACAGGTCAGAACCTGGAGTCTGCTTCAGATTCTGTGTCTCACTCTCTCTCTGCCCCTCCCCTGCTCGCATTCTGTCTCTCAAAAATAAATAAACATTTTAAAAAATAGTAAAAAATAAATTTAAAAAAGTATTTATACAGAAAAGATTAGCATGGCCCCTGCGCAAGAATGACATACAAATTCATGAAGATTCCGTATTAAAAAAAAAAAAACCATAAATTTCTTGAAGGAATTGATTGGTCTCTCAAATTAGTGAGCAAAGAACTTTCAAAGCAGAAGTTATATTACCAGAACTCAACAATACTTTTTATTAAGTTGCTTTTCACTTATGCTCAATTAAAAATTTTTTTTTAAGTTTATTTATTTTGAGAGAGAGAGAGAGAGAGAGAGAGAGAGAGAGAGAGAGCACAAGTGAGAGAGGGGCAGAGAGAGAGGGGAGAGAGAATTTCAAGCAGGTTCTGTACGGTCAGTGAAGAGTCTGATGTGGGGCTCGAACTCAAGAACCATGAGATCATGACCTGAGTGGAGATCAAGAGTCAGATGCTTAACCAGCTGAGCCACCCAGGTGCCCCTATGCTTAATTTTTTTATGGGTCGAAAGCAAAATGCATCTGTCCTTAAGCTAGGACAGAATTTCCCAAAGTCTGTTTCTTGGGTATGCTATTTCAGTGGCCTATTAGCAGATATTATATGAACAAAGGGTTCCATGGCTAATGAGTTTGGGAAGTGCTGAGTTAGACACATGTAAATGAGGATTCTTTATTAAGGACTTCTCAGAGCATGCATGCTCAAGTGTCCTGAGCTCTCCAAGAATTTCCCAAATGTATTTGAAAACAGATTCTTTTATTTACAGAGTCTTGAGGGATTAATGGTCTGCGAAATGCACTTCAGCATTTTAAATACCCCTCCCCCGCCTCCCCCCCAACACACATCTTTTTTTTTTAATTTTTTTTTTTTAACGTTTATTTATTTTTGAGACAGAGAGAGACAGAGCATGAACGGGGGAGGGGCAGAGAGAGAGGGAGACACAGAATCGGAAACAGGCTCCAGGCTCTGAGCCATCAGCCCAGAGCCCGACGCGGGGCTCGAACTCACGGACCGCGAGATCGTGACCTGGCTGAAGTCGGCCGCTTAACCGACTGCGCCACCCAGGCGCCCCTTCACACACTTTTTAAAGACAGTACCATCTTGAGGAATTCACTGGCAGGAACAAGAAGACCTACAGGTGGGCCTTTTAGGTGGCCCAGCAAAGGTCAGGATGAAGGAGCCCGTGTTATTACCATCATCGTCATCATAACTCACAAGCACAAGACATAACATTTGTATAGTGTTTTACAAAATGCTTTGTCTCATTTTACCTCTCACAATAAATCCAAAACAAAAGCTGAGGGACTATTCTTATTGACAGATGAGAAAACGGAGGCTCAGAGGAGAGAGGTATGATCACAGGCCCGAGGGCCCATAGCTGGGAAAGAATCACTCAAACCCAGGCAGGCAACTGGGAATCCTCTCCTCCTCCCATTGGGCCACACTGCTGCCGGCTGGGTTTCCAATTAAACAATTCCCTCAGGGTGAACACCAAGGTGTCTTACATCTGACCTCAATCAGGGGAGTTGATAGAGGAAGTGCACTTTTGCGTGGCATGACGTGCCACAAGGCAATCTGGTGATTGAGGCAGCATCTACAGAGAGCAGCAAGCATGAAGAACAGAGGCAAACTGGCATTTAGTCAAAAGTTTGGTATGACAGTTTTGGGCGACTCTGTCTTGTGGTTTCTGATTTGGGATGTTCTCAGAAAGAAGCCATTTCTGAACTCCAGAAGTATGCAACTTATTTATACATATATTTATAGCACTGCATGCTCAGGGGCTCTTCCTTCCTAAGAAACTCAAAAAGCACAACTTTCACTAATAATGAATAGCAGATGCTTATTTTTAAGCTCTACTCAAAATAAGCTAGTGCTCTTAGCAAGAGCACAGGTTCTTTCTCGTCACCTTTCAAGGATATTACGTTCTGGAGACACTGCTTTGAATATATCCAATTACTAGACTCCCCCCCTCCCCCCTGCCACCTCATTAGTTTTTTTTTTTTTTTTTTTTTTAAATTTTTTTTTTTCAACGTTTATTTATTTTTGGGACAGAGAGAGACAGAGCATGAACAGGCGAGGGGCAGAGAGAGAGGGAGACACAGAACTGGAAACAGGCTCCAGGCTCTGAGCCATCAGCCCAGAGCCCGACGCGGGGCTCGAACTCACGAACCGCGAGATCGTGACCTGGCTGAAGTCGGACGCTTAACCGACTGCGCCACCCAGGCGCCCCTGCAACCTCATTAGATGTGTAACAGTTTCAGAAGAAAACTGAGGGGTAACCCAATGCTTGGTTTACTCATTGGCAAATCAGTTATATTAATAGCTAATAATGATAGCTGCTGTTTATTACGTGTTTCCTCTTGGCCAAGCACCATTAAGATGCTTTATATAACTGATGTTATATAATCTATGACGTTGGGAAATTGTTTTTATTAATGCCCCATTTGATAGATAGGAGAATCGGGGTTTAAAGAGGTTGAGTAACTTGCCCACTGTTGTGTGGCCAAGACTGATCTGTGTCTTTACCACACAGTCTTGTGAGCAGCTTGATAAAGATTGGGGCTTTTCGGCTCATCGCTCACGCCTGGCTCAGTGCCCAGCACACAGTAGGGGCTTTACACAAGTGTGTCGAGTGAATGCATGAACCAGCAAGACTCAGGTGTCTCATACATTGGCTGGATTCACCTAAAAGCGGTTTTAACAAAGCTGTTTTGCCTGTGACTGGATAAAGCAACTTGCTTAAGAGCCCAGACAGAGGCAGCCCCTCTCTTTATCCAGGCGGCAGGTGTAGTCTTTGGCCCTCCTGCATACCTATTTAATCATGATCCCACCAGCAAACCAACAGAGAAAGGGCTTCATCCAGGACACCACGGTAGGGACCTTGACAGTGGCCAAACCTGATGAATCAAAGATTCAGGGCCTTTTCCTGGGTGGTCCCCTGCCCAGCTACTGCTTGTGTCCCTTCCAGCCAGTTGTGGCCTTAATCTTTCAGATGGAAATGCTGGGACTGCAGTTTGAGGATGGGCTCTTTCTGGAGATATCACTGGTTCACCTCTGGGAAGGCCCCACCTGGGCCTGGCCTTGGGAGCGAATTCCTAAATCTGTAGTATGTGTCTCTTCTGGGGCATCTTGAGCATCCCTTCTGCAAGAGAACACAGAGAAAGGCAACCTGATGGATTATTATTAGTAGATAAGTAAACCCATTTTCCACAGACAGGCAAGGAAATGGGCCTTTGTGCATATTTGAAAAGGCTGGTCCCACAGGACAGATGAGTTACGAAAAGCAACATTTTCCTAAGGGGCTAGGCCTAGGCAGCCCCACTCAGGTTGGAGACAAGGCTGCTTTTGCAGGTTGCGTCTTGCTCAGGGGACTGCCAAGAAGTTTAAAGCAGTTCTTTACTCAAGGCCTCCAGGGATAAAGCCCCTCTACTCTGCAGGTGCTGGAAAATTGGGCCTCATGCTCTCAGTCTGCCTGATTCTACTACTGATGGGAGGGCCTCAGCCCCTTCTTTTGTAGTTCTAACTGAAATAGCTAGACCTAGAACCAGAACTAGACTCTGACCTAGTTCTTAAGTGCCTTCCCAAGCTCAGAAAAGTTCTTTCCAGACCCCATGAAGTATCTTCACCCCTTGTTTTTCCTTGTCAAAAGATGCTTCCAAGCATTAAACCCATTTATAACAATTTTACCTGTTCATTGTCTATCTCCCCCCTAGGATGTGAGTTCTAGGATGGCAGGAGCCATAGCACTTTGGGGTCATCATTCCATTCTCAGGCCCTAGCACGGGGCCAGGCACACAGAAGGCACTCAGTATTAGTTGGATGGATGAGTGAGAGTCAAGATTAAGAAGGAGGAGAGATTTAACAGTTTAATGTAGACCTCATTTTTGACAGCAAAGTAACACTGAATGTGGGATTAATAGTTTGCTTAGGCACCAATGTGGAGTCAGGAATCCTCAACCCCACTTTGTCTTTTCTTCTCATCCACCTATCCACGTCCGTACAAGGCAGCAGAAATAGGCCAAAGCCGGAAAGCCTCGCTCACTGTAGATTCCAGAGGTTGGCAACCACAGAACCACAGAGGGTTAGTGGACGCACTAATTTCTAGGGTAGGGTGGCCTGCCACTTTGGGGAAAGAAGTGGTGTCAGAGGGACTTCTGAAAGGCAGAGGGGAGTAGTGGATGGTTTCCTATGCCTGGACCATTCAGTTCTGGAGGTGGGGGAAGAGGCAGGTGGCAGTGAGTGATGTGCTTGGCTGAAGACTGTGGAGGCTGGAAAGGAGCTTGGGAGGCTGAACCTCTAGCAGCCCCCAAAGAGCTGTTGCCTGTGAGTAGGGGCAGAGTAAGCAGACAAAGGAATTGATCTTGGATGGACAACAGACAAGTGGCATGCCGGGGAATTTCAGGGAGCAAGGGCATGTGGTATGCCAGCAAGAAAAAATCCAACATAGCTTGATGGAGGGACGGGCCTAGACAGGGAAGCAGAGGAGACCGAATGAAGAGCTGAGGGGCTGGAGGTGGAGGTGAAGTGAAATAAGAGTTCAGTGGGAGCCAGGAGATGAAATACTGGGGGAGGTGAGGGGCTGCGAATCGAACAGACATATTAGGCTCAGGCCATACAGAGGATTGGCGTCTAAAATGTGTTAAGATGGCACCGAGATCACTAATTAAGGAGAGGGAGACACGGAGAAGCTATTCGCACAAGTGAGAACATTTTTGTTATCCTCTGTATCAAGTGCTCCCTCACTGACAGGACTGCAAGGTCAGCAGCCACAAGAATGGACCTGAGAGGAATACCAATCGCTCTGCTCCTTTGTAAGGGATAGAGAAGCCTGGATTTCCAAATTCAAAACACCCATCCGGCTGCTTCTACAAATCCCTGAATAGGGAATCAGTCCAGAGATACAGAATTTTTTTCCGCCAATATCTTACGGAGGACTTGCGTAACTCCACGGAGCTTCCAGTAAACACCAAGAACCCAAACCGGAGGTGTGCAGTGTGTGTATGTGTGTGCTGTGTGTCCAAGGGTCAGAGACGTGCGCTCCCGCAGTGAGGGCGGCCTCAGACGCAAATGCCCAGGCCCGCCACCCAGCCGCCCGCTGAGAGGATCTGGCCGCCAACTCCAGGAAACAAAAAACAACGACAAAACAAAACAAACAAAAAACCCCCCTCCA